TTGTTGCACAGGGATTCTCCCAAAGGCCTGGGATCGATTATGATGAAACATATTCCCCTGTCATGGATGCAATTACTTTCAGATACTTGATGAGTTTAGCTACCCATGAAAATCTTGAGATGCGTCTCATGGATGTTGTGACTGCTTACTTGTATGGATCATTAGACACCGACATATACATGAAAGTCCCAGAAGGAATCAGAATGCCCGAAGCACTGAACTCAAAACCTAAGGAGTTATGTGCGTTAAAGTTGCAAAGATCATTGTATGGCTTAAAACAATCCGGGCGTATGTGGTATAATTGTTTGAGTGAACAATTACTAAAAAGGGGATACTTGAATGATCAAATATGTCCGTGTGTTTTCATAAAGAAATCACATGATGGAGTTGTGATAATTGCTGTCTATGTTGATGATCTTAATATTATTGGGACAGCAAATGAAATTCGAGAAGCAGTTACTTTTCTGAAAGGCGAATTTGAAATGAAAGATCTCGGAAAAACTAAATATTGCCTTGGCTTACAGATAGAGAGAGTACAAAATGGGATATTCGTCCATCAATCTAACTATACTAAAAGAGTACTGAAACGATTTAATATGGACAAAGCTAATCCCCTTAGTACTCCTATGGTTAACCGAACATTGGATGTTGAAAAGGATCCATTTCGACCTTGTGAAGAAAATGAAGAAATACTTGGTCCTGAGGTACCATATATGAGTGCAATAGGGGCTCTTATGTATCTTGCTAATTGCACCAGACCAGATATATCTTTTGCTACCAACTTGTTAGCAAGATATAACTCGTCACCTACAAGGAGACACTGGAATGGAATCAAGCATATATTCCGTTATCTCCAAGGAACAATCGATCTGGGATTATTTTACTCAAATGATAAAAAACATGAAATGATCGGTTTTGCAGATGCAGGATATTTATCAGACCCACATAAGGCGAGATCTCAGACTGGCTACGTTTTCACTATTGGTGGAACTGCATTTTCCTGGCGTTCTCAGAAACAAACACTAGTTGCTACATCTTCAAACCATGCTGAAATCATTGCACTGCATGAAGCAACTAGGGAGAGCATCTGGCTCAGAAATATGACTCAACACATTCAACAAGCCAGTGGATTATCAAATAATAAAGATCCGACGGTCATATTCGAAGACAATGCAGCATGTGTCGCTCAGACCAAAGAAGGATACGTCAAGAGTGACAGAACTAAACATATCCCACCAAAGTTCTTCTCATACACTCAAGAGCTTGAAAGGAACAAACAGATCAAGATTCAGTACATCCGATCATGTGATAATGCAGCAGACTTATTTACGAAGGCGCTCCCAACTACAACATTTCGAAAGCACGTCCATAACATTGGAATGAGACATCTTCGAGATTTACATGGATGATAACTCGAGGGGGAGCATGTGCGGCTGTACTCTTTTTTCCTTATCTCGGTTTTTTTCCCACAGGGTTTTTCCGAATAAGGTTTTTAATGAGGCAGCATAAACGCACATTGCATAGTGGTAATTCCAAGGGGGAGTGTTATGAACAAGTGGAATGTACCACTATTCATAAATAGTGAGTCCAACATGTGTGAATAGTAATGGAGTATGGGATATGAATAATTTATGTTCAAAGTGTCGGTAGAATTTGCCTATAAAAGGCAATGCAAATGTAGTGAAAGTGTGCTCATTCAGAAGAAGAAAGAAATATTCAGTATAATTTCTATCCGGTTTCTATTTTGTGTTCTATATCTTTCTCGTTTTTATAACATCATCCAGTTTTTATTTTTATTTTTTTTATGAATAGTTATAGGGTATTGACGCGGAGGAGAGACTTAATTCACATAAAATATTATTTGATTCACTAATATTTTTATTATGTATAAAAGTGTTTCATGTGCATTCAGAAATCTTAATATCATTGTCAAATTTTAAAAATATAAAATAAATAAATATGGAAGAAGAAGAAGAAGAAGAAGAAGAAGAAGAAGAAAAAAAAGACGATAAAAACAAACTCTAACAAAATGTTCATGAAATAAGAAATATTAAATTTAAATAATATAAAATTAACAAATAAATAATAAAAAAAAAAAAAAAAAAAAAAAAAAAAAACGGGCTGGCCGCTTTAGACCGCGGGCAGAACGGGGCGGGCCAAATAGGCCCGCGATTGAACTGGTTGGCCAAGCAAAGGCCCAAGCCAGTCCATTTAAGCGGACGGACAGGCCAGCCCGCGGGCCATGGCCCGTTTTGACAGTGCTAGTCACTAGATCAAATCCTTCTATTACAGATGCACAAATGGCCATTATATCCTTTTGTTTATGTAGATGGTATGGCCATTACTCAGAGTACTTCAAATGAAGTAGATGATTTAGTTAGTGATGGTTATGGAGAAGGGAGATATTTAATTTAATTATTTATTTTAATTTTTCCTGATTTCGTGAACGTCATTACTACCTGGAAAACCATGATCTCAATTCGCCCAAGAGAATCTGGTGTGATCGTCGATGAGGAATCTGCTGCAGTTTACCGTGAAGAATTTGAGGAATCTGTTGCAGCTTCCGCTCCTTGTTGATGTGATTTTTAACAACTACTTTCTTGGGATCTTCACACGGTTATATTAATATATAATTATTGGGATATTCGATGAGGAATGGAACTCTTGTATAATTACTAGTGTGACGTATTTCTGTTCACGAGTATGATGAAGACGAGACCGCCATTGCGTTTCTGAATAAATATGACCGACTCCGGGTTTAAGTCTATTTATTTCGTATTATTATTAGTACTCTTTAGTTTATTTCCTTTAGTTATTTTAGTAATTATGTAGGATAATAAATAACTTGCAGTGTTTGGCAAGAGTAGGATTCTTATGTTATTTTCCTTTTCTTATTTATGCTGTATGGAACGTGAAAGAGGGCAGATTATTGATGAATTAGAATTTCTGTTCGTTCGTTCTTGAGAGAGTATCTAATTTTATTCCCAATCGTACTACGCTCAACATCAGTTGGTATCCAAAGCCCAGCGACGATCCACGATGCCGCCCAAGAGAGATAACATCGTTGACGATCGTTTCCAACGAATGGAAGAGCGATTCCAAGGCGTGGACGACCGATTTACGGACCTCTCATCGGGGATCGAGGAGATTCGCCAGGCCATGAACACCATGATGGAGGAGAATCGGGCGAGACGCGACGGCGGCAACTGGGCCGGGCGCGGTGGGCTTCGTGGAGGCCGTGAAGGGCGTGGCTATGGCGGGGCGCACCGCCGGCGTTCGCCAGGGACTCCGTCCGGCGCAGAGGACGAGGAAGATACTGTCAGCGAGGTGAATCCGTTCGCTGGAGGACAACGACGGCGACCAGCGGATGACGAGTTCTTCCGGCAGCGGGACAACAACGGAGGTCGCTTTCCTCGCGGCGGTGGCGGAGGTGATTTCAGGCGACGTGAGGTTCGCTGTCCGCGGACCCGAGAGTACGAGGATGACGAAAATGATTGGAGGCATGCTCGACTAGGGTTTGGGGATGGCGGTCCGCATTTCGAGGATGATGAAAATTGAGAGTTCGATCATCAGAGGCGAGCTTGGGCCCGTGATCATGAGGGGTTTGAGCGCTTGGGGATGAACCGACGTGATGGAAGGCGTCCGATAGAAGGGGGCGATGAGTCGCGTTGGGAGCAAGGGTTTCGTGTGGAGATTCCCGAGTTTGACGGCGGCGTAGAAGGTTCAGAATTCATCGATTGGTGGGCTTCGGTGGAGGCAGCTGACCGCGCGTCGCAACGCGGCAAAATTATAATTCATATTTTCCTTAACCGACTTCTACCAACTAGTAGTAGTAGTGAGCAAGGGTCGAACCCACAGGGAGTGTGAATCAAATTGTGTTATTCTTGTATTAATTGAAATTATGAAAAGCGATAAATGGGGGGATTGAATTAGAAATCTAATCTATCTAAGAAGGAAATGAAATATAAATAAGAAAATAAAATGAAATAAATTAAGAGAAAGCTTCTAGTCCACGGTTTTGTCTACACCCTCGACTGACTCGTCTAATCAACTTTGGTATCAAATCTCGTTATCTTATGGAATTACTAGCCCTAGGTAACGACACGGTCTGTTACCCGAATTTTTCCTTAATTTTAATTTAACTGCGAGACACTCTACGATTAAATCTGACTTCTTGTACAGTCCAGAAAAACGTTTTCAAGATTTAATACAATTAGCCGCTTTACGAATTAGAAAAATAGGCTAGACTTAGTAGTGAACTCAACCGCGTTCGTTCACTTAAATAGGCCGTGTTATCCCTGGTAGTTACCGTCTTCCGGTAGCCTCTTATGAATTAAACACAACAACAATAACGGATTGAAGGTCTAATTCAGCTATAGATATGAAAAGCCTAATCTAGGTGATCAATCTAAATAAGACTCCACATATCATGGTTAATTATTCAAAATAACACAAACAATTTCAAAAAGATATTGAAATTATCAACCATATAAATTAATCAAAACATCGTCAATCGTAGGGTTCGACTTCCCCGGAACTAGAAATAAAAGAACTAGCCTAACATAATAAATAAAAATTAAATAATAGATACAAGAGAGAGATTAATTATCTCCCTCGTGTACGGTTTCGGCCTCCATCCGCTTCTGTCGGATCTCACGTATCTCCACGCTTTTTTCTCTCTTCCTGTGCGTTATTGGCGGCTGCGTGGTTTTTTCTTTCTCTGTTTTGGTGGCTTGGTATATGATCAAGGGTACATGTGTGTATTATTTTCTTTCCAAATAATTCCTTTCCTCCAAAAAGTGGCTTCGTGTATCTCTGCCAAAGTAATTTTCCTATTCATCTCACTGGGCCACATATTATGCTGTTGGGTTAACTCAATTGAGTGGCAACACTTATTTAATTAATCTCTAGCCCAATAAGTCTTCTGTTGTCACAAGTGTTGGGCCCAATTTCGTACATGGTATAAATGGGTCCAAATACTGGGCTGGTATGAGGTACTGCTAGGTCAGTACGGGGCGCCCCTGTACTGCTTCGGATGAAATTTCTTCCAATGTCACGTCGTCTCCGAAAACACTCTAATATCCTAAAAATAAACCATAAAAATATAAAAGTACAAGAATTCATCTAACAAATAAATAAGTCGAAAGAAGGAGAGAGTGGATCCACCTTCCCAAAAAGAAGGAGAGAGTGGATCTTGACTTTGGTGCCAATAGCCAGGTCAGTGCCCATGTCAATCATGTCCTCCACCAGCATGAGAATGCCTGTTGTCAAGGAACAAGGGTCGCACTCGATGATGCTCGTGCAAAGGGAAGGGTCATGGGTCTGGCGGCATATGACATCAAGCACAGTGTCGCTTGCCAATATGTTTAAGAGGACCAAACTTGAGATGAAAAAAATTATGTAGAGGGACTTATTGGCCATTACTACTTTTTATACGATGAATACTTGAGTGGTTAGGAGTTATATGTTGTACTAGCATTTGGTTATGGAGTTCTTATATAGAGGTGTTTGGAGCAGGGAAATAATTGTTGGAATTAGATCCTTATGCAAGCTTAGGAAAATTGCAGGATGCGTCCGTCAGGAATGGGTAAAATTTCATAAAAGAAACACCAAGTTGGGCGTTGTTCGAAAATATCATGTTGTCTCTAACGAAAAAGGTACACTACATAGACAATTTGGCCGAATAAGATGCATTAATCACCAATAAAATGCTGACGTGGACGGATAATTGAATGACGTGTCATATAACATTTCCTTACTTTCTTACGTGTTATTTACGTGGCGTAATGTGTCATTTTCATTGCTGTAGACACATACACCTAAATAAAATTATATAAAAAAATCTAAAAATAAATAAATAAAACTAAATACATATCACACTCTTTAAAAAATAAAAATAAAAAAATCATCGGCCTCTAGTAGCATCCTTTGGCACGCCTGCATCCTCCAGTACCTACAACTGCACTTGCCCGGCGCACATCCTCTCTACCTACGAGTCTACGACCGCGTAGTGCGCAGCTTCTCCGCCTGCCCTCAGCTGTGTTCCCGTTCTCGATGCCGTCCGATTCCCCCATATCACCCGGACCCCCAAGTTCTTGGGCCTTGCCGCTGCGTTTGGCCTCTGGCGGAACTCCGACTACACCGATTTCTAGGTAAATATCTGCAAGATAAAACTCATCGTCGCTAAGGGTGTGATTNAACCAATCAAAACTTAAATTTAACTCAACTTTAACCCAACTCCACTATCTCCAATATTATCAATATAATTAAATAACATCAACCAATCATTCTTACACATCATATCAACTTTAATTTATTATTCACCCACTCACATAATTTTAACTAATCACCACTTCCAATCATTTTTCTCTTACTTTTTACATCATATCAACTTTAATTATTTTATTTTAAATATTATTTTAATATATCCACTAACAACTAACCATACCAACTTTTTTCAAAATTAACTATAGTTAAAAGAAACTAATTAATTGCTAGATGAATTCATAAACAATCACCCCCTAAATTATTTTATTTAAGGTACGAGGCCTTGCGAGGGGGAAAATTGATAGAAGAATCGAATAAATCCAGATCTCCAAGGGACATGGAGGGCCACGACACTCACACGGCGCAGGATTTAGGGTTTCAAACGCCAGTCTGTATGGATCCAGATTCCCCAATTAGGACACAATTGACAATTGTTGTTAAGCGTATTTTGGGCAAACATTGGTCACCTTTCCCGGCCTTAACCGAGTTGGCATCAACTGACGAACGACCACGACCATCTTCAGAAAGGTCGTGGTCCTCCACCTGCTTGGATGTCACTCCAGCCCTCATCGCAAAATAGCCCGTCAGAACCAGCACAGGAGTTCAGTGGGTCACAGTCTTTCATTTGGTACGATTTGCGTACCGTCGAAATTTCACCAGGACCGGAATCCTTACTGGTTTCTGCTGGGTTCTTTCAAATGGTGGCGTTTCACAAATCACAAGAGAGGGGAAGCCTTAAGGATCCTAGCCACATGGCATCATCTGTGTTGTTCATTATTACGTGGAATTACAATGATTTTCAATTGTACCCTAATCTGAAAAATAAAAAATGACGGGACATTCATAACTGGCCACGTAAATAACACGAAAGAAATTAAGAAAATGTTATGTGACATGTCAATAAATTATCCATCCACGTCAGCATTTTATCTGTGTGTGGTGATTAATGCATCTTATTTGGTCAAATTGTCTACTTAGTGTACCTTTTTCATTAGGGACAACATAATGTCTCGTTTTTTCACAACACCAACTTGGTGTATCTTTTCTGAAATTTGCCATTGGGAATTAATAGAGAAAGTGTTGGAATATCATTTATGAGTCGTCTCACATTGATTATATAGGGTAAATGAGTTTAGTTTATAAGCCTAGTGGGCTATACCTTCCATTACCAATTGATTTTGGGATGGAACCTCACTAAGGTGCACCTAGGCTCACCCTCTTATGGTGCGTTTCACTGTGTGGGACCGCACTCCTTGATTCTCCCCGATTATCAAAATTTGACATGGTGTCAGAGGGGGCCTAATTTGGGACCTGCGATGATTTAAAAATGTACTCGGTCTGGTTGTAGCCTTGGGCTTATGATGATTAGATGTACCCGGCATGATTGTGCGTTTGAGCTAATGAAGGACTCACAAGTGGGGTGGGCCGTGTTGGAATATTACTTGTGAGTCGTCTCACATTGATTAGATAGGATAAATGAGCCTAGTTTATAAGTCTAGTGGGCTACTCCTACCATCACCAATTGATTTTCGGATGGAACCTCACTAAGGTACACCTAGACTCACACCCTCTTATGGTGAGCGTCACTATATGGGACCGTACCCCTTGATTCTCCCCGATTATCCAAATTTGATAGAAGGCAAATCCGATACACCATATTCGACTCGGTTATTAATAATAGTGTGTTGTTCCAAGATTTATTTATCATAAAAAAAAAGGATAATTTATGTTGACTATGTACGTATGACCAAAAATATTTTAATAAAATCCCATTGAAAATAATTTATGAGAATGATGTTAGAAAATTTGTTTTGCAATGCGTACCCACATATCCTATTATGTAAAACCATATGTTATGCATGCTCAATCTAATAAAAGTCCGTGTGCACACTGTATACATGTACTAAGATAAGAATCCCAAAGTTTAATTAAAACTCTTACCTTTGTCCTTTTCAAATGCTTCGTTGGCCTAAGTCCAGAAACTTATTATATCCTCCATGTTATGTGCCTCACTACACTGCAAGAAAATTGCACATGGTATTATACAAATATTGGACTAATGCTCACATGCATCTCTTTCATATAAGCTAATTTTTATACAACATCCCATAATTGGGTACGTCATAACCATGGTAGTGGGCTCAAAACATTATTACATAAATTGTATGTGTACTAACTGCCAAAATGTCACAATTGAACATTTTTGGATATGTATAGTTTAGGGGGTCTAAGGTAAGTGATCAACGTCTTGGGCATAAGCTAACTCTTATTGTAAGTGGTAGTACAGGAGTAAAATGATTTATTTTCAAACATAATACCATATGGAACGGTTCATGTCATGCGATCGCGGCCTACGTGAGGGTTGGAGCGGCGGTGCATGTCACGCGGATGGTTCGGTGGACCCCTCCGGATTCGGGCTGAGTTAAAGTCAATACTGATGGAGCCGTTTATAATGCCACGGGAATGAGCTGCGCGGGGGGATTAATTCGCGACGAGGTAGGGCGTTGGATTGCGGGATTCCTTTTCAACATTGGCTTCTGCACTATTACAGGGGCTGAGTTGTGGGGCCTGTTCCAGAGTCTTTGGATGGCATGGGATTTGGGATATCGGAAAGTTGTGGCCGAGGTTGATAGCCTCTGCGTGAAAAATATGGTTTGCGAGACCAGCGGCGAGTTGGGGCCTCATGATGCACTGGTTCAAGCTATCCGAGAGCTGATTCACAGGGATTGGAGTGTTACCATTAACCACATTTATAGGGAAGCGAACTTTGTGGCCGACCATATGGTGAACATGGCGGATGCATACCCGTTTGGCTTACATCGCCTTGTCTCTCCACCAGAGGGATTGGGTGCTTGGCTTGATCATGACAATATCGGGGTGTCGTATCCCCGTCGAGTTTTAGCTTAAGCCTTTGGCTTCCTTTTTCAAATAATTTAATCATCTAGAAATACAAACATTACCTATCAATTAAGTATTTTCATCAATTTTATTAGAAATGTATTAGCCAAATTTTGATGATGCTTAAATCTTAAAAAAAAAAACAAAAATAAAATGACCATTAAAACGAAACGGTTGAAGCATACAATCCACAGCTTTATATTTCACCACTCAAATGCTAATCACACAGACCCTCTCCGTTTTTCGTAAACTGCCAAATTACATGTGAACTCAATAATTTCATTTCTCAGATTTTCTTGTATAAGGCATGTGCCATTTCTCTGTAGGAAATAAACAGGTTACCATTGATCGGCTTTGCTACAGAGCCTACTTGCTTTTAATATTTTGGTATATCATTTTCCAATTGGGACAATGATTAAAGTCTTTTATTTTATGACACAATGAAAGTAATCATATGTTCAATTACAGCTCTACTGAACTCAAATTTTTTGGGCTTTTATTTAAATATGTTTAATCTTTTAAAATTAAAATTTAAAACTATTTGTTCATAACTACATATCTATGTATTATGATGAAAGTATAATATTTTTAAGATTCTCATGAAAGTAAGTTATTCAGTTTACAACTAACCCAAATGGTAATTTGATAGGATATTGAACTGGTGATTTGAAGGCAATTGCCTAATCATGCAGTGGTAAAAGGGATCGATAGGGAAAAAAATTTATTAATGAGGACAATGATGGTCATTAAATTATCATTATATCCCTACTAACCACACCAAATTAACAAGCTCAATTAACGGCTTTAACTGCACCAACCATCTGTTTAATAACTAAAACCTACTTATCCATCTTCACATTTATTTCTTGACTTAGAACCCCAATTTTCGTGACTACCTTGAATTTATTTTGTTTCATTTGAAGAACTTATTGACATTTGTGAAGAATCTGAGAATCATAGTAGCTTAGACGAACTGGTCATGCAAATAAGCAAACATGCCTAGTTATTGAATAGTGCTTAGCGCAAGTATAAGGATGTATTTTTTCAACAATTTATTAATATATATTATCTATTTAAGAAAGTACTACATTTTGATATAAATAAATAAATTAGATTTTATACACATCACTGACTAGTTATTACGGTACCTAACAATATTTGTAGAAAAAGACATGAGGTTGAAGTAAGGTGCCTAACAATGTTTGTAGAAAAATAGACAAGCAAAAGAAAGAGAAAACTTGCTTCATATAAATATATATAACTCGACTCATAATAAGATGTATTTATGAAAACATGGTCCCATATATCATTTATTTAATCAAAATTAATATACATAGATTAGTTAAACTAAACAAATTTCAACATATCCACGCACTTGAAAGTTGATGTCATTGGATTTAAAAGATTCCCACCTTTCACCACCAACTTTGCTATCACGCGGGGTAAAATATCTCTCTAACTTCATGTTAATTAAAAAAAAAGTCTTAACTACTGTTTAATTACGTCTGTTTGTCATGTAAAGTTGAACTCAAATCTAGATTCAGTGATTTTTCAACGTGAAATCAATAGTTCAATTAAGCTTATTATAATAAGAGTTTCATGCACAGCTCGTGTTGATCAAAATAAATTAGCTAATGTTGATGTATGTCAAGTGAGAAAAGGGATTAATTAATTTTTCATAATAAATCCATGTATTTCTAATATATTGAAATTTTTTTTTGTCGTGATAGATGAAATATACATATGTCATAACATTATTATTGATGTACTAGTATATAAAGTTCTAAAACGAGTCGAGTCAAGATTGAATTTCTGATATTTGAGTTTGGGCTCAAGCCTTTATTGGACCTAATTGAAAGTTATGTGTCGATAAAATAGCTCGAGCATGACTCGTTATGAGTCTTTAACAAGACAAATATGCTAAAGGTTCGTAAAGTACGCAAAAACTCTTTTTTTTTTTTTTTTATTAAGTCTAACGAGTCTCAAACTAATCAAGCTCATGATTGACCTGCTTGATTTAACAGTTTTATTAGTATATTCACTCATCTAATTATATATCAAAATTTAAATACACAAATCTAATTATATATCAAAATTTAAATACACAAAATGAAGACGGCTGGCTAGTGGAATAATCACATGATGTACTATTATCAATCCATTAATCAAAACATTCCTCTACACGACCAGCTAATCTCATTTCTTAATCCCACAAATATAGATCAAAACATGCATAAATTTCCCATTAATTAATTAGACAAGATAAAGAAAAATGCTCCTTCCCAATAAAAAAATGGAGTATTTAAATCCCTTTTCCCAATAAAAAAATGGAAAAAGTATGGCGGGGACAGAAGCCAACCTAATACGACAACTTGTGATAGCTCATTAACAATCTCCCACAAAACGACGTCGTAAGTGTATTTTCCAAACACGGTAATCGTTATCAACTGCGCATAAAATCAGTCGGACCACAAGAGCTTCCAAGCACCACCTACCGGCGAACCACCGCCAATGCTGCCGGCGATCCGGCGGCGCCACAACCACTGAGCTCAACCACTCTCCCATCAAGAAAAAAAAAATGTCGGGCTCGAACCCCAGCAAGCAGGCACAGGCGCAGGCGCGTGAGCTGAAGCACCGCGTGCTCGCGTGCCTCCACAAGCTCGCCGACCGGGACACCCACGCCGCAGCCGCGTCGGAGCTCGAATCCATCTCCATAACCCTCCCGGCAGACGCCTTTCCCTCTTTCCTCTCCTCCATCTCCGCCACCGACTCGTCCGACAAGTCCCTCGTCCGCCGCCAGTGCGTCCGCCTCGTCGCCGTCCTCGCCGACCACCACGGAAACTCCCTCTCCCCACACCTCTCCCGGATCCTCTCCGCCGTCGTCCGCCGCCTCCGCGACCCGGACTCCTCCGTCCGCTCCGCCTGTGTCGCCGCCTCACTCTCCCTCTCCTCGAACCTCACTTCAGCTCCCTTCGCCGCCGTCACCAAACCCTTCCTCGAAGCCCTCTTCATCGAGCAGGACTCCGGCGCACAAAACGGCGCCGCATTGTGCCTGGCGGCGGTGATTGAAGGATCGGTAAATCCGGATGTGGGGAGCTTGAGAAAATTACTGCCGAGACTCGAGAAGCTCGCGAAATGTGAGGGTTTCAAGGCTAAGCCGGCGATTTTGGCGCTGATCGGAAAGGTAATTGGGGTCAAGGGAGTGTTGACCGGCAGCAGTAAGAATATGATTAAGAATTTGGTGATGTGTTTGATGGAGTTTCTGAGCAGTGAAGATTGGGCTGCTAGAAAGGCGGCGGCCGAGGCATTGATGAAGATGGCAGTGATCGAGAAAGACGCGCTTTGGGAGCATAAAGCTTCTTGCTTGAAGAGTTTTGAGGCCAAGAAATTCGACAAGGTTTGATTTTTTTGATTTGGGTGAAATGGGTTGGATTTATTATTTCATTTTTCTTTATATATTCGGGATTTTATGTGTGTTGTTGATACTTGATAAGGAATGTGGGTTGATTTGAACAGGTGAAAGCTGTGAGGGAGACCATCAATCAGTTGTTGGAAGTTTGGAAGGAGATTCCGGATTTACCCGATGAGGTTTCACCACCACCTGAATCTCAGCCATCGTCTAAAGGTAAATTAGTTGAACCACAGTTTTGTTTGTGTTAATTGTTGATGGTTTTGTTTCGATCTATAATTATGGTCTGTAGAATGAATCAATGGCTGTTATGAATGTTTTTCGAGCCTGTTTTCTGCACCGGTTCATTTTGATTTCTTCAAAGTTTAGATTTGCTGCTCGGTTTGTGTTGATCTTTGTTCTGGTGATCTACTTTTCATATTAGTTGCACCCAATCTGACGAGCAACTGGTTTTAAATTGTTGGTTGTTGATTGTTCTATAGTGCAAGTATTTGATTGCTTGTAGTCACATTATAACTGCCATTGTAAGCTGTAACTTTTTCCATTTCATGTTTGGACTTTAGTTGATGGAGTTCTTAATCTGCCATTAGTATTTTGATTGATATTCGTCAACACATTTGTTATTAAAATATTAGACATTGCATTACTGTATAGAAAATGTTACTGTACATTGAAGTTGTTCGCATTTTTGTTTGTGGGTACAGAAAATGCTAGTGATGGATCAAAAAATCCTCAAGGAGCTAAAACTAGCTCTTTTAACGACTCAACTAAAAGACCTTCACAATTTGGCAGTGGCTCAACTGCTTTGATAGCCAGGAGAGCAGGTAGTAATGAAAGCAGAAAAAGTCCACCAATGTTCCGAAAATTAGACCACAAAAAGCCATCCAACTTGAAACCCGAAATAGTTGCTCCTGCCGATTCTTCTTGCCCAGTGGTTTCAGAATATAAGACCCCTTTGGACGCGGACCAAAGAGTTTCAGAGATCGAAGAGGAAAAAAAACCATTTGTAAAGCCAGGGATTAGACGAGCCCTGTTCAATGAAAAGCACGATTTGCCCAAGCTTGGTGAGGTGAGTGTTGTGGTTGGTAATGAAACTGGAGACGATTTTGAGGACCCGAGAGACTATGAAGACCTGTCTTTGATCCGTAAGCAGCTTTTGCAGATTGAGAATCAGCAATCGAATTTGTTGGAAATTCTCCAGGTAAAAGGGAAGAACCTAAAAAAAGAAAGGAAATATAAAAAAAAAATACAATGTGATTGACATTTCGAACTTATTCATTCTTTGTGTAATTCAGGGATTTATTGGGAGCTCACAGAATGGTATTCACTCTCTGGAAAATCGTGTACACGGTATAGAACTTGCCTTGGATGAAATTTCATTCGACTTAGCTGTATCCAACCGAGGAGTTTCAAACAGTGATACCTTGTGCTGCAAGTTTCCCGTAACTGACTTTTTGAGCTCCAAGCTATGGAGAAAACCCGAAGACTCTGCTGCTTCTCGATTCTCTACTCGTGGGACCCCTTCACTGTCTGGAGCACGCAGCATACCCGACCAGAACAAAGAAGCTGACGTGTCCCCATTGCAAAACCCGAGAATTCGTTTTCGTGGAGATTGTGGGCTTGTAATGAACCCGTTGGCTGAAATTCCGAGAGGCAGCCAGGGGCTTCCGGAAGCTTCCTCAAGTGGAGTTGGAAAAAACAGAGCTGTTTGAAGTACATGATTTCAATTACAGGCAGCCTCTGACCTGACCAAATGGGATATTGTGTTTTCCATGAGATGTCAGAATCTATCTACTGTTTTACTATCATTTCCGAGTTCTATGATTTGTATATGCATTTGTCTTAAGTAGCTAACTTGTTTCAATTATTTTAATCCGGGTTATGAATGTTGTTTCAAATGTGTGGCAGTTGGTAAAAATTCTCAGAAACTCGTGCAGGCATGGACAATAACTGACCATGAAAACAAGTAGCTGTTGAATACTTGAATTAAATTCAGTTAACTATTTTCCACCATTGATTTATACTTTATAGTCATCTTTTTTGCATGAAATTTAATGATCATAAAGGACACATGAATACATGATCGGATGATCCCACAAGCAAAATATCACGGAATCAAGATATAAAGGTTCACCTCAGATCAATTTAGAAAGTCTGACAACTCTGAAAACTGAAGAACTACACATACAGACACACAAGTATACACGCTACTCTGTACAATAAAAGTTCATGCATAAATCAAAGTATGTGGACCCAGATTCCAATGTACATGCTTTTATTTATGCATAATTGTTGATATCCATAAATGCCGCTTTTCTCCAGTCAAGCAATCGAGGATGCAAGAATCTCTCCCCTACCGAATTTGTTCTCAAGGTTCATGTTACCAAGTGCCACTTTCAGTTCCACCACTTCTTCTCAGACAAAGAAATAAGCTGCCACATCAAAAGCAAGAGACATTTAGCCAATGAATTGATTTTTCCGATTTTAACTAATGCAAAAATGAATAAACAAATAATAGTTAAAACATAAACATGAAATCATGGCTCGGCTAGATAAGATTTACGAGATAAAGTAAATGAAACTTTTGAAACCCAACAGAAAGAAAAAAAAAAAAAAAAATAGAAACAAGTTTTTATGCACTGACCTGACGAGCAACTTGTGCCAATCGTCTGCTTTCTCGTGTTGACTCTTTTGACAAGCTAGTCTTAGGTTTCTTCAAGTTCTGAACTCCATTTTGTTTAGCTTCTGCCCTCTTTTCTGTCTCAATTGCATCATTCACGTTAGACCCCACCAAAGCCTCTCTCTTACGCTTCCTTTGAAACGTGTACTTGATGACTCTTTCTCCAACAAACTGGGTAAGCCCTGGACTCATATAACCTGAATTCAACTCTAAACCATTTGACAACACACCAACCTTCTCGACATCAGTTTTACTATCGGGTGAGGAAGAAGCGTTTTCATCATCAAAATACACCAGTTTTAGCGGTGTAATTTCACCTGAAATTTCCACACTATTTGTTTCTTTTCCTAAAGTTTTTTCAGACCCCAAACAAAACCCTGTTTCAGTTTTAATTTGAGACAATACTGAAGCTGTTTCGAACAGATTCTCACTCAGACAATCACTGTCTTTGACTATATCAGAATCATATCCCACTCTCAAGGGCGTCACATTTTTCCTTTTCCTGGCAGCTCTTTTCCTTTTCCGAGATATATATTGCAGATTTCTGAATGTTCTATCTGGTAAAAGTTTTTTCTCAAGTTCACTCAGAGTTTTATCCCCAGAAGCTGGTGCTTTGCTGGTATCTTCACCTTCTTCCTTCTCCCTGCCAAGACAAATACCAAAACATTTCACAAAGGGGCCAAATATCGGGCACAATATTTTATACATAATTATATATAGCTTTTAAAGATAAATATTAATAGATAGCAAGAACAAGAAAGTACCTTTGACTCTGTTCTCTATTCTTCTTGTCATGTACTTTATCGGTTTTTCCCGAGAGGCACAACGTGTCATCAGACAGATTCTTCTCACACGCATGAATTCTTTGGGTGAAACCATTTTTACGCAAACCAGGGTCTTTAACTCTAACTGTTACAGAAGGTAAATCTTGGTTCGACATTGTTACATCAGAATTCTTGTCTTGGGAATTTGGAGGAAAGGATTTACCGAAGTCATATGAGTAAATGCCGTCCTCCGTTCCTCCTGAAAATGCATTGGTTGGTTTATTTGAATTCTGCAAATTGTCTTGCCTTAGTCGTACGAGTTCAGCTTGTGCCAATCCTAATTCATTTCTGAGATCATTTACAATATCTTCAGCTTCCTCGAGTTGAGCTTCGAGCACTTCAATTTTCTTTTGCTGATTAAAAGATGCAGCTTCAGCTTGACTTGTCTGTAAAGTTAAGCAAATATACAGCCATATAAGTAAAATTGTCTCCAAATGTTGATAAATTTTGATAAATAAGGGAATGCTTGCAATCATGTAAAAAGAAAAGTTGATAGACATTTGAATGTTTAAATAGTTTTGCATCATTTGATCAGAACTCACAATTTGAAAGAGGCGCACGTACTAGCTTACTATTGGCCACACGAGAATCAATGAATTTTCGTGTGATAAATAGATAAAGACATGTGCCAACTTTACAAATCATGAAATCAATGACATTTTTCAAAATTTTGACACGTATAGCAGCCGCAAGCATAAATGCCAAGTAGATCTCTTTAGTTCAGCCAAACAATAAATAGATAACGGTCAGAGAAACAAAGTGAATTAACTATCAAATGAGCAGAAAAAACAAAACAACATGCTTATCAGCATTTTCAAAAAAAAGAATACAATTTCAATCAATGCAAATTCGAGCATATTATTCATTTCAAGTACAATCCTTCCATTTGGTTAAAATATCGCAAATAAACATTCCAAAATCTGAGTTCTTGGAAAATCATTGGATAGGAATGCTTAATGAATGAANACACATTCAATCCTCATCAGAAAATCGACTATACAATTCTCAACAACCAATTCACCCAAAGATCTATGAGAGGAAAAAACCAGCTTAGGTAAACACTGAAACCGTAGTTCCGAACAAACCAATAAGAGACATCACAAAAGTTACACTATGCGTGGATCATCAGTAAAATGCAATCAGCAAATTTATCTAAAGAGAAGTTAAAACTATCAATGGAAAATGAAATATAATCCATTTCATAACACAGTGTACTCTCCCCAATAAATCCATCATTAGAGAAAACTATACTTAAAATTCATAAGTTGAAATTCGAAGATTTCACCTTAAACCCCATCATTTGCTTAAGGCGCATTAGCATCCTCAAAGCCTCCTCTTTCGCCACCTTCAACTCATACTGATACTGTGCCGCCCTTTTATCCGACGACATAACCCTCATTGCAGCCTCCTTAGACATGTTGAATAGTACATCAGCATAGGCCTTCTTTAATGCTGCCAACTTCTGAACTCAAAGACCAACACCAAAAAAATGGAATTAATAAACAAATATAGAAAGAAAAAAACAACCCTTTTACATATAGATCACAACGAAACAAGAACCATCGACATACATAGCTTAAATATTCTAAGATACCAGCAGAAAGAATCAACATTTACCCCAATTTCAAAATTTTCAGATTAATAGTTATTGGATTAACTCGAAAAAAGAAAAAACACAAACACGCGATAGACAAAAGACGGAAAAACTTGTCAGCCCCATGAGACAGAAATCAAGAATAATACACAAAAAATGAAACAAAACAAACCAAAGCAAAACCATATGGATTTGGTGAAATATTTCGAAACAGACACCAGCACAAAAAATACTCCATAACACCTCCGAGAGTCAAAGCAAAACAACAAATAAAATCAAGAAAAAGTAGAGGATCGAATTCAAAATCAACACGCTAACAAATGCAGGAACAAAAGTAACCAAAAATAAGGGTAACGAAGTGATTACAGGACATGAATTAGGTAGTTGACATATACTGTCGGGAAAAAAAAAAGGAAAAAGAAAAGAAATGGATGCGCCGCCGTGGAGAAGGCGGTGTACGGCGGATGAGAACTGCGGAAGAGGTAGCGGAATTTACCTCATCGGCGTCCATTTTCTGAAAAAAATTCCGAACGAGCTTTTTTGTGTTAGTTGAGGTTTTCGGTCCGAAGTTTGTTTTTTATTAATAACTCAGTTTTCCTCAGCAAGTGCTGTCTGTTATGAACTGAATCTTTTAGTCCATGAAAATACAGAATTGACCCTAGATGAACGGTATTATTACGGAAATACAATGGAAGCTGACCATCGGTGCGCTTCGTATTTTGGGCTTCGTGGGGTGTGTGCCATTGGGCTGGGCCCATATTTCGGTTGAGAAATAGCGCGAATAAATGACGCTCTCAATCTCTTTCTAAATCATTATTCTTTCGTTGTAATAGCGCATCATGATTCCCATTTCTACCCCTTTTTATTCTTTTAATGGCTTTGTAATAGTTATTTTTAAATACATATTCAGTTATTATTATNTTTCTCTGTTCTTTTTCTTCTTCTTAATTTTCTTAATTCACGCGATATATACACTCATGAAAAACCCAAAAAAATTATTATTGATCTTCCCAACAATAAGTTAGGGTTGTGGTAGATCTATTATTCCATCTTCTCACGAATTTGAGGTTGAAATTCAAAAAATCTACACCCAAATTGTCATGCCCAAACCATCATCGAGCCTTCAAAGGCCACCACCCGACATCACTGAGCCTTCAAAGACCTTTAGTCGACATCGTTTAGAGGCGCAACCATACGCAGAAATCGAGAAGTCACACCCGGCCGCCATCAAGCGAAGAGGGTTCCGATCGAAAAACTCCGCCTCCCCCAACGAGGCAACGACCTCAGATGCTGGAAGTTTTTGAAGAAGAAGGCCCGCAGCCAGTGAGTCGGTTCGAATTTGATAGTCTTGTTGAATTTAGTAATCGTTTTGTTATTATTTGATATTGTGAGTTGATTCTGTCATGAAAATTTGTTAAGGTGTTTAAATATTTGGAAATAAAAAATATTTTTTTGGCTTTATCGTTGTCTTTGGATCTGCTTGAATTTTTTCCTAGTCTATTTTTAATGACATTGTGAGATTATTTTGCCATGGATTATCTGAGTCTGTTTTCTATCGTCTGGTGAATGATCTGTTTTCGTTTGTGAGAGGTTGGAGAATATAATTGATGTTTATATGGTGTTTAAATGAACTCGCAATTCGATTCTATTTGTGGCAGCAGGGGATTAAATGAATAGTTATCATGCAGGATCATGAATATTGGGATAAGTTTCAAGATATGAAGATATGATGAGTAGTTACACTAGTTGTTATCTACATAGAATTATGAGTTTCTGGCACAGGACAACAAAGTGTAATGCACATAATGTAGGTATTTTAAGCTAGGTAATCATATATATCACATCTTAGTTTATCTTTCAAATCTCCGACTTTGCAACAAATGGCCGACCAACGTGTGCGTGTGAATTGTTCGCAACTATGTTTTTTTTTTTTCTCAAATTTTGTTTTAGTTTGGTTATGTTCAGATTGGTGGCTCGGCTCGCAAGGTCGAGATACCGTGGATTGGAGGCGGATCTCGGTTTTGTTGCTCGTTGTAAGATGGCGATGATCATCGACTGTTCGGTTCCAGCATTAATGATTTTTTTTTGTCTGGGAGCTTGAGCTGGGATGAACCGAGACACCAACGATCCTTTTAGTCCGACAACATGGTTGTGGCCACTTTCAATTCACTTAGTTGTACGTAGGTTTTAATCAGCTACGATATATGATTTTTTCAATTGATAAGAGGTTGTTTCCATGTTGCTTGATTATTGTTATAGTGTTGATTTGTTGTTATAACACCAAATTTTTTTAGATATATGGTTTTTTCTATTGATAAGAGGTTGTTTCCATGTTGCTTGATTATTGTTATAGTGTTGATTTGTTGTTACAGCACCAATTTTTTTTTTATATACTTATATTCTTCCTATATTATTTGTTGCATTTTGATGCTTATATTCTTATTATTTTTAAGTTGCAACAACAAAACATTTGTGTTGCTTTTAAGATAATTTAGTTGTTACGTATTTAAATTTTCTAGTTCAATAGATATCTATAAGAAAAATTTTGTTTGTACATTTTTTGGATGTTCAGTCTCCATAAATAACCTTGATACAATTTTTTGGTCCTTCAAAATAATAATAATAATAATAATAATAATAATAATAATAATAATAATCAACAATTAGTAAACATGAAAATAAAATAAATAATAAACAATTACTAGTTTTTTTTTTATTAGATGATATTGAATAATTTTTACAACTTATCTAATTATTTGCTATTTATTTGATGATATTGAATAATTTTTACAACCTATCTAATCATTCGCTAATAATTAAAATTTTTACGACTATTTAGGATTCTTTATGTACTAAATTGCTTACTTTTTTGTTTCTTCTGCACACGCCTCGTTTTTTAATATTTTTTTATTATCAATAAATAATTATTATTAACAAGTAAGTTGGTTAAAATAAATAAAACTAGATATTCACTTTGTTAAGGGAGAGAGTGTGGTCAATGGAAAGAGTGAAAATTGGAGGAAATTAATTATAGTGCCCGATGCGGTTACATGTATAATTTGGAATCAATTAGAGTTGTTTTGGAATTGTATCACATCTATTGCCTCTCTTATGGCATGATTGGTATGATGGAATGACATAGGAATGGAATGATCATTCCTTTACTCATTCCTTATCCCATGATTGGTATATTTTTTTGTAATGAATGATCATTCCAATGAGAATGGCAAAACCCATCTCCATGGGATTAGCCATTCCATAGTAAATGGAGGGTTTTTTCATTCCCATGTGTGTAGGAATCAATTTTTCAAAAAATAAAATTAAATAATAATAAAAAATAAATATATAATATATATTATAAATCATGATTAAAATATATTAAATAAAATTATTTAAACAAAAATTCAAATAAAAAAATTGAAAACTTACTTTTATTTATTTTTTAATTAGATATATTAAATACTTATATAAAAATAAAACTAAAAAAAGTATTTATATATAATTTAAAAATATATTATTTTATTTTTATATATTATTAAAAATATATTATTTTTTATATATTAAAAATATATTACTTTTAAAAATATATTATTAAAAATATATTATTGAAAAATATTAAAAATATATATTATTAAAAATATATTACTTTAAAAAATAAAATTCACATAAAAAATTGAAAACTTACTTTTATTTACTGTTTAATTAAAAAATAAAATATATATTATTAAATATATATTACTTTTTATTTTTAAATATTATTAAAAATATATTATTTTTTATATATCAAAAATATATTACTTTTAAGAATATTTTATTTTTTATATAAAATTTAAAAATATATTATTTATTTTTATATATTATTAAAAATATATTATTTTTATATTATTAAACAATATATTATTCTATTTTTATATATTATTCAAAATATATTATTTTATTTTTATATATTATTAAAAAAGCATTTATATATAATTTATTAAAAGTATACTATTTTTTAAAAAAAACTTTTATTTATTTTTATAATAAAAAATGATAATGTCATTCCATTCTAGTCATATTCCTTCTGCATACCAAACGCATGAATGACAAAATATGTTTCATTCCATTCCCATAATCATTCCATTCTTCAATTCATTCCATTCCTACGAAATTCCATTCCATCATACCAATCATGTCATTAGGAATAGAACATCTGAAGAAGGATAGTTATGACTTTTCGCCGAAATTGCACCCTACACTAGAATGTTTAACTTTATTTACATAAACAACATCAAATGAAAACCCATTCACTATCTAAAAATAAGCGAATCGGACCCCCCCTTTCTTATTATAGCAAGAAATCATGATTATATTTGCATTTTTACTAGATTTCGGTTGCTATCAATATATGAATTAAATAATCAATTAGTAGCTAAATTTGTGAAAAACTTTATATGAATTCTCTCACCATATCTTCACATCAAAGCATCTGCACCCACAGATTTCTTCCTTCGACCCAAAAGCTTCTCTTCTTAGCCACTTTCAATGGCGAAATCATCAAAAACCACCGTCGCGCAGTCTCTCTTCTTAGCCACTTCCAATGGCGAAATCATAAAAAACCACAGTCACACAGCCGCGCTACTTGACCCTGCGAACATTCCATCACTCGATGGGGCAAAATCTTTCCACGCTCTCGTCACCACAATGGGCTCGTTCCCAAATCAAGTACCCGTTTTCCTTCACAACAATATCATCTTCAAATATGCATCCCTCGGCGAGATCGATATGGCCCGCAAGATGTTCGATGGAATGCCGCAAACAAACGTCGTCTCCTATAATACCATGATAGGCTGCTACGGTCGGGCCGGGTCCATACACGCGGTCTCCTAGGTGATTCTCTTCGTCTCCTCCTCCTTGGAGGCGATGGAATTTTTGGGTAAAAGGTTGTTGGTTATAGATCTGTAATACATTTTATTGTTGTCTCCTCCCATGGCAATTTACTGTAGATCAATCTCCCGATTTACTGCTGAAAAAAGAGGTTTCGATGATTAATGATTGATGATGTTTCCCCGTCGCACAATTCTCGGCTGACCGAGACGACGCCACCGAGATATTCCGAGAATCTCGAGTGTATATCTTATGTATATTTTATGTATATGTGAGTCTGAAATCGATTTTTGAGAAACGGTTGGAACTCTAGTGTATATTTAAAATATATTTTATTTATATGTGTGTCCCGATCTGTCAATTATGAGAATCTCGAGTGTGCATATTTTATGCATATTTTATATATTTTTATATACTTAACATAAAACACAGATAAACAAAATCAATCACAAATTATTATTTTCGTGAAAGTCATATAATATCGGCATAAACAAATATGAGATAATTACTCCCTAAATATACACGGACTATAAACGCAATATATATTGCCTATTTCAAAAAAAAGCTGAACATATACTAAATATAAACGAAATATATACTGCTTATTCAAAAATTGGGTCTAACATTATATATTGTTGTCTCAAAAATCGTTGGCTTTCTGTTTTGTTACCATATTCACCTAGAACATTTGAATTTCAAATTATATTTATTTTCATGGTGATAAGAATAAATTCCTAACAAATAGGAATTATCCACTTACCTTTTTTTTTTTTTCCATTGAATTCCTATAACTGCGTGATTGTAGGAAAGTGCCCTCCTTTCATAACGCCAGTTTTTATTTCTGTCAATTAAAAGCTCTTCAAGTTGGTATGGATACTAATAAAAGATGTCATCTCGTAAATTAGCAATATTTTTATATTCTTGTGGTAAGTATAAATTTCCCCGGTTTGGTTCGGATGTATGACGTGGTACTTCCTTTAAATAAACACATTGTTTTTGTAGCTAATATTTGTATTTAGTATTTACAATTCTTAAATAGATGTTTGATATATAGTCATTTGTATAACTATTTTATAAATTCAACATACTCTTGCATTGAGCTTTACAAAATTAGTATTTTCGGTCAAGACAATAATAAAGTAAGCTGTTATCAAATACGCGAATTTGATAGGCTAAACATATAAATGAGATTCATTTCACAATGTTACACAAATTAAATGTAACAACAATAATAACATCTAATCACATTATACGGTCAACACATTATATGGTCAACTGTCATTAATCAAAAGTTTAAAATAATTTTTGTAATTTTGAAGTGATGAGTATTAATTATTTAATGATTGAATGAAAGATTAATACATCAAAATGTAACGGTTTTTGGAGGGAAAATTGTTAAATTGCCACATAGGTAAAATTAAATAGGTTTATTAAATGTTTTGAGCTAGTAATTATATATATATATAGATATAGTTGCTTAATGAATAAATTAATTGTCTAACTGTTATCTAGTAATTTTGAATAATATCTTATTGATTTTATTCTTAGTTACAAGTTGTTAATCAGTTACCGAACCTACCCTCATGCAATTAGCTAATTAAAGGGGTTCCAAATTTCTGATGTTAGAAAATACAGGTCCAAAATTAAATATAAAAAAAAGTTCGTGCTTTATCCTCAAGTCTCAAGACCCCACGTGGCATCTTCTTCTTCCTTCCCTCTCCCAGAAGCTTAAACCCCCAAAATCTCCATTTCCAATCTCCTTCCAAGCTCTCATATGTAACTAAAATGATGAAATTGGCCCTGCCCTACCACCACTCCTTCTCCCCAATCCTAACGCCGCCATCCACCGCCGTCCCCAACCTCCTCTTCCCGCCCAATTTCCACCGCCGCCGCCGCCTGATCCACCTCCCGGTTTCCCGCCGCAGCCTCTCCGTAATAGCCAGATCGAGGAAACAGTTTGTCTACGGCAACCCCAGCGTCACCGTCGAGAAGGGCAAGTACAGCTACGAAGTCGAAACCCTAATCAACAATCTCTCCGGCCTCCCGCCACGCGGCAGCATCTCGCGGTGCCTCGAACCTTTCCGGAACAAGCTCTCGCTCTCCGACTTCACCAACGTGTTCCGGGAGTTCGCCCAGCGCGGCGACTGGCAGAGGTCCCTCCGCCTGTTCAAGCATATGCAGCGCCATATATGGTGCAAGCCCAATGAGCACATTTACTCTCTCGTCATCGGGATCCTCGGTCGGGAGGGGCTTCTGGATAAATCAGCGGAGATTTTCGAAGAGATGGAAATGGATTCTGTCCCAAGAACCGTGCTTTCTTACACAGCGATTATTAACACGTACGGTAGGAATGGGCAGTATGAGGTTGCTTTAGAACTGCTCGAGAGAATGAAGAAGGAGAGAGTCTTGCCGAATATCTTGACTTACAATACTGTTATCAATGCTTGTGCCCGAGGTGGGTACTCGTGGGAGGGGCTGTTGAGTTTGTTTGGTGAAATGAGGCATGAAGGCATTCATCCCGATTTAGTTACTTACAATTTGCTTTTGGGTGCGTGTGCTAGCAGAGGTTTGGGGGAAGAGGCAGAGATGGTTTTCAGGACGATGATTGAGAGTGGGGTTTCACCAGACATTAACACGTACAGTTGTTTAGTCGAGACATTTGGGAAGTTAGGGAAACTGGAGAAAGTTTCGGAGCTTCTTGCTGAGATGGAGGCTGATGGGAATTTGCCAGAGATAATGAGTTATAACGTGTTGCTGGAGGCGTATGCCAACTCGGGGAAAATAAAAGAGGCTATGGGTGTTTTCAGGCAGATGCAGGCTGTGGGGTCCACGCCGAATGCCGGGACGTTTAGTATCTTGTTAAATATGTTCGGGAAAAACGGTAGGTATGAAGACGTGAGAGATCTCTTTCTCGAGATGAAGGTGAGTAATACTGAGCCGGATGCTAATACGTATAACATAATGATCGATGTTTTTGGCGAGGGGGGGTATTTTAAGGAGGTGGTCACTTTGTTCCATGATATGATAGAGGAAAATGTGGAGCCGAATATGGAGACATACGAGGGGTTAATTCGTGCCTGTGGGAAAGGTGGGCTTTATGAGGATGCAAAGAGGATTTTGCTTCATATGAATGAAAATGGATTTATTCCGAGTTCCAAAGCATATACTGGGGTGATTGAGGCCTTTGGTCAGGCGGCCTTATATGAGGAGGTTGTTGTTGCTCTTAACACGATGAACGAGATTGGGAGTGTGCCGACTATCGAGACCTATAATACTCTGATTCATGCGTTTACGAAAGGCGGGCTTTACAAGGAAGCTGAGGCTATTTTGTCAAGAATGGACCAGTTGGGTGTTCCTAAAAATAGGAATATATTGAATGGTATGATTGAGGTTTATAGGCAGGGAGGCCAGTTTGAGGCGGCCATAAAGGCTTATGTTGACCTGGAGAAGATAAACGCTCATCCGGATGAATACACTCTTGAATCGGTCTTGAGCGTGTATTGCGTTGCGGGCCTTGTTGATGAGAGTGAGTTACAGTTTGGGGAGATTAAGGAGTTGGTTGGCCATCCTAGTGTTATGTGTTACTGTATGATGCTGGCAGTATATGCGAATTCCGACAGGTCAGACTTCAATTGTGTTACTGCTATTGCATTTATCCTTCTGAAAATGCATGCTCACTGTTAATTTGCACTTTTATGGCGAAATGATATTCTTTCTTGATTATTAGGTTATTGTTGATCATGTTTACAATAGCGAATGCCCTCAACACCACTTCAATCTGCAGTTATCTGATTGAATAAGCATCTAATGGTGTACATAGAAAAAATAAAAAAACAAAAAAAATCTTAAATAGGGTAGTTAGTTGATAGTTAGGATGGTTTTGACTAATAGGATTTAGTTGATTCTTGTTACGATGTTACTAGCCTAAGATTCTCTTGTAGGTGGGAGAGATAACTCAGCGATTTTATTTATCTCAAATTACCCATAATGGCATAGAGCATATATCCTATATTATGGAATTGCATGACCTGTATGCATTGAATTAATACCAACATTTCATTTCACAATTTAAAAGTAGAAAGTAAACCATCTTCTTTACCTATACATTAGACATTCTCTTAATAATTCAGATGAAAGCAATTATATTTCCTCTTCTATTTGTACCGTAACTAGAAATACCATGACTTCTGGAGCAAGTATGGTCTAGGTGAAGGGAAAAAATGTGGAAGGACAAAACTACCATCTTCCCATGACCTATACCACTATTCCTGTTAGTTACTGATTGATAAGGTCGCCAACTCAAATAACAGAATGAAAAATGAAGAGAGGAAACTTCCAAGTGACGACTAACAGAGCACAAGACCTTGTTTCAAATTCCTTGTCATTTCAATCAAATTTTGGTAACATATTGTTGTATACGACTAGTGGCATGAATTATGGCGAGTATAAGAAAACTTACATTGATAAGTTTGAAACAGAGGAACACAAGGAAAACAAGAGTCTCTCTCGAAGTATCTTCCTAGAACAGTGATTTCAGTTATTCTTTATTCATATAGAAAATTGAGAGTACCTATATGAATGTGGATCAATATTCAAAAACTTGTCGACGGCCTCCGTATCTGTTATTTGTATGATTTCTCATATGGGTTGATTCTCTTCCTGAAGCATGCTAGCGAAAGGTATACTTTCGGAATAATTAAATGAACACTGCAAAATGGTATTTTTTTTTCCGTGCTTGTAATTCGTGCTATTCATTACTTGTCAGCACTTCCTCTATTGGATTATTAAAACAGTTAGCCTCCATTCGTGCATCTGATCATTCTGTCTAGAAAGATGATAGCTTATTAATTTTTCTTCTCTTTTTGAAGAGCTTAAAACTTCACATTTATGTCCAGGTTAGACAAGGCCAGTGAATTGCTAAATGAGATGCAGACAAATAAGGTGTCAAATATTCACCAGATTATAGGACATATGATTAAGGGAGATTATGATGACGACAGTAATTGGCAAATGGTGGAGTACGTATTTGACAAGCTCAATTCTGAGGGATGTGACTTACGAATGAGGTTCTATAACACTATTCTCGAAGCACTTTGGTGTTTAGGACAGAAAGAAAGGGCTGCAAGGGTGCTTCATGAAGCAACAAAGAGGGGATTATATCCAGAATTATTTCGTAAAAATAAACGTATATGGTCTGTAGACGTGCACAGGTATTACTGCTTTTATNAGATATTTATGTGGTGCTTATTGTATCTTACTTTTGGTTCTTTATTTATTTATTTATTTATTTTAAGGATGTGGCCTGGTGGTGCATGTACTGCAATATCAGTCTGGCTGAACAATATGCAAAAGCTGTTCAATAAAGGGGAGGAACTTCCTCAACTAGCGACTGCTATTGTCGTGTGAGTGATTGTTAACTTATTTGCCGAGTTGCATATTTTTTAATTTTTTCTTTTAACATTAGTCCATTAAAAAGCCATCTCCAGTTTGAAAATGCCATACTATGAATGACAAGTATAAGTTACATTAGTTTGCTGATGAAATAGAAGTGCAATTCGAAATTGTAGGAAAAAATAGGTTTAAAGTGTTTCTCAATGAAATAAATATTCATGAAGTTCATTTCCTTGTTTATACAGACGAGGGCAGATGGAAAAGAGCTCAATAACTCGAGACTTTCCGGTCACAAAAGCTGCTTACTCCTTCCTAAAAGACATATCATCATCCTTCTGTCTTCCCGGTTGGAATAAAGGGAGAATAATTTGTCAAAAGCCTCAGCTTAAGCGTATCTTCATCAAAACCGAACCATCTTCAGAAGACTCAGAAATCGAGGAGATAGTTAGTTTGCACAATACTCCTTTTCCTGTATTAAAGGCAAGAACATCCATGAGCGGCCTAAAGCAAGAAAAAGCCAACAAACTAAGTTTTAGGTCTGTTAGTGAACTTATGGCAAGTGGGGTATGAAAATTTTCGTAAGATAGCTTCATCCTGAATCGAGCTGAGAAAATCCTAGGACCAAGTGAAAATTATACCTTGAAGTGGGGCCCGTTGTTGGATATTGAGTTTTTATGTCCTTTCAAAGATGAGAACTTCGGCTTGCCAAAGAGGCAACGTTGCCTAACACATAACGTGTCTCTGTTGAGTTTTGAGCTTCACATTGTGGGATACTGTTGCTATATCTGAATCCCACTTTGTGTTGTCTGGTTTTAGTGGCAGAAAACCTTAATGACAATGTGGAAATTTGTTGCCACTTGGATAAGCATAATGTACGAGAATCTGGAAAAGTGGATTCGGCATAATGGAAATGAAAAGTGTTCACATTTTTTATTTTTTTTATTTTATTTTTGGTAAGACCTTAATGAATATGTTAGTTTTTCTGTCTGTGTGCATATTGTGATGTTTAGTTTATATGTTAGTGTGGGTTTTATGTTGTGGCAGTTGAAATGGGGGTAATTTAAGGTTCTTTGATGGTGGGATAATGGCTGGTGTTACTTTAAATGATGAGAAGTTTAAGAAAATTATTATCCAGATTAAGATAGTGTGATACTGATACCTCACCAACCATGTGATTTTGACAGCTGAAGTTTCTTTATTAAAATTGAGGGACTTGCTTTAGTAACTATTATTATTGTGTTATAATATATGTGCATGAGGTGCACGGTGTAATAATATAATAAATGTGAATGACTATTTTGTCCTCGATGTAATTGTATTATTACGATTGTGTCATCAGAAGTTTTCCTATAAATAGGAGCTTCAGTTATAATGAAAAACATCCTACGAATATACATTCTCTCTGTTCTCTATCTTTCCCTTCTAGTTTTATAACACGTTATCAGCACGAGCGCTCTTCATGGTTAGAAAGGTAGGAATAAACAATATATATATATATATA